GGACCGTGCCTTTAAACGACTTCTGTGTCCGGTACAAGTTTAGCTCAGTACCATTCCATGCCCTCATCAAGTCAAATTGCGAAGTTTTCTCTTTTAAAAGGCCCCTACAAGAGCTCCGAGGCTTTTCTGAAGCGTATAAAGCTAGACATTGCAATTTCTCCGAGCATTTTCAGGATATGTGGCATCCAAGCTGCTTCCGATGTGCTCAATGCGACCAATTGCTCGTCGATATGCTCTACTTCCATTACCAAGGTAATCTCCAACCGTGTGCTAAGTAAAGGAGGGGTAAAAGCTCACGATGAGTTTCCCAGGGTTACCCTTGTTTTTTCGTGTGTCATGTAGGTTGTTGTGTAGTTTCTTTAATGGCCTGACGTTTCCATCTGTTCCTTTTCGGTCTTGGATTTCTCCAATCATTCCCTTTTGTTGTTCAGGCAAATATTACTGTGGGAGACACTTTGCTGATCTTCAATATCCACGATGTGCTGGTTGTGATGAGGTGAGCATATATATACTTTCCGTATCCTGGAAATGGGGAGGGCAAGGCTGCGTACTCCACCTGAGCACGGCGTCGCTTGTGTTTTTCATTGGGTACTCCATCTGAGACAATTTGCCTCCTTACGCTGGACAAACGCATTAAAATTGCCCCAAACGACGGCAGTGTTCCACCAGAAGCGAACGTTCAAATTAACTACGCAGTCGCGCCCTTTCCATCCTCTGGGAATGGAGTGAAGTTGGTTTGGGGATAATTGGCCCCGCAGTCCATTCACAACGATGTTGGGAACTGGCGCTGTTCGGATTAGGTGGAGTCAAGCCTCTTCTGGTTGTAGCATCCGAAGTGAAATTGACCGGTACGCAAAGGAGAAAGGTGCAAGAGTAGGCCCAACTCCGCCCACACGGCTAGCGCAGTCTGCGTCCTTGAAACGATTAGCTGTGATTAGGATTCCCCTTTATAATCTCAAATTTTTATCGATGATCACCCTTCCTTTTAGCTGATCTTTGCTCGTGAGTACACATTTGCTGAGGAGAAGTCGTGGCATTTTGATCACTTCGCTTGCTTGAAGTGCGACTTTCGTCTTGGTGGTCACCGTTACATGATGAAGAACGATCATCCACACTGTATCGACTGCTACATGAAGCATTTTGCACGGGTACGTCCTATCAGATCACATTATTCTTTTGGAAATCACGTGCAATCCTTACTGAAAAATCAGTGACATGAAAATCTGGGAAGCCAGCTTCAGCCGTTGTATTACGTCCGTGTGGAGGCACGCGTTTGTGGGGTGGAATCCGAACTGGTGGGAAGGGGTACACGGCTGGCAAGAAACTTTCTGACCGGGTAATTTTCTTACGTTATTTTTTTCAGTCTCACCCCCTTAGACCCTTTTTTTCGCAGCCTACCGTCTAAACACCAAATGCCCGCCTCGGGCATATAGCGCCTGAAAGTTGGAGACTACAGTCATAACCGCGCCGATGTCGGCCTGGCAGAGGTCCAAAACCTGATGCCTAATAATCGGAAATGTTTTCAGAACTGCGATACGTGTAGCGAAAAAATTGGGCCTGACGAGAAACGCTTGAATTATCAGGACTATCACTGGCATGCCAAGCCAGAATGCTTCCAGTTCGTTTATTCTTTTTGCCTTTCAATTCATTTTGAGGGCGAAGTCTTCGATGTTTATCGCTTGGGTGGAGTCAGGCCTCTCCTAGTTACGGTATTCAGAGTGAGAAGCGCGTAAATGAGGAAAGCACGAGAGTATGGCTGACCCCGCCCACGGAACCAGCGTGGAATATGTTTGACTGTAGGATCGCGAAAAATTATGCACATTTCAGTTGCCGTCAATGCAAAATGGATTTGATTGGGAAGAAATTCATCTTCAAAGATCACCACCTATTCTGCTCATCACAGTGCAAGGCCGATTTCATGAAGAAATTGTAGCATATGGTGACAGCCGCTAAGAGTAATAGTGCTCGTTTTCTTTTCGCCGATCTTCGCCTTCGTAGAGTATTGTTTGAGTAATGATTTATTGACCGTCACATCACTTTTTTATGCTAGATTCGCCGTCTTCTTCGTTTTATTACTGTTGTTGTGATACGATTAGGGGCATATTCCGCGATAAGCGGGTGGGTGGAGACTAACAACAATTGTGCCTTTCTCATTGGTGCGCTTTCTTCTGCCGTGGTAAAGAGGGACGCGTCAACAAGAAGAGTGCAGTAGTTGTGTCTCCCCACCAATTTCTACGTCCACTACGTTTAACGTGGAATGTGCTTTTTTGCAATGATGTCTACTGCTGCGCTCGTCTTCCTCCCACCCCCTCCCCCTTCAGTTTTTCGGTATGCACCACCATTGACAATACGACGAGATATTGCGGGCTTGTACAAATCAATTGAATTGTGATGCAAATTGCTTAATGTGATAACTGATAAGATGATAAATTATCAACGCTACTGGTTTCTTTATTAGGTTTTATTCGATACATATTGATAAACTGATAAACAGCGTCTACCGCGTACATAACAATAACATGATATGACAAGAACATGAAACATTGATCACAGTAATGAGTGAGAGTCATGAAACCACGAAAAAGTACGATGTCGGTCGGGAGATCTGCGTCGCGGCCACGCGACGTCGCGCGCGCGAAACACAGGTCAGGCCAAGACTTGGCTGTCGCGTGCGCGACATTGGAATCGGTATTGCAAGCGTGACTGTCACAACACGACCCAGCGCAGACGTGCCACAGCATGTCGGGTCAACAGGCTAGTGAGAACTATCTAGATTATGCGGCCACCGCAACATGCATCTCCCATGCGACGCACCGGTACTATATGCTGATCCCTAGCGCGTTCGACTGCGAAGCGCGGCGTTGTATGAACGGAAGGACAGCTTGGGCTTTTTTGAGCCTTCATGGAGAGCTCAATCCTCACCCTATGAGAGGCGGCCGCTCCGCATCCGCACGCGTAGGGGATCTGCAAGACGCACAAGGAGTTCCGTAGAATAAGCCAAAGAGATCGTTCACCTACATGCATTGCATGATGTCAATAAACAGACGTTCATTGAATCTGGTCATGATTCAGGATTCTACTTTTTTTGCCTTTGTTTGATAATTTTCAGAGAGACGTTCCACGACAACCAGATGGGCGGAGACGCAGAAATACTAGTCTTCTTTTATTGACGCATTGCTCCTTGGTACTGCTTCAGACGCAGGAGTGCATCTGCGAGGAAGGCACAGTGATTCCGAATCTTCGCCCCAAACGACCTACACTCATTATGCGCCTTGATGCGCAAGTACGCCTGATACCGGAATGAGGAGATCCGCGTAAATGAAGTACATGAGTTGATATGTCTCCGCCTATCTTTTTACCGCGGACTGTGCCTCTGAGTGGTCAGTAATTTTTGCATCTAATCGTTTCCCACACTGACCATGAGCAGTAGTTCAGTACATTCGTGGCGATGAAAGCGTCGCAAGCCATGCCGAAAAGAGGTGCTTCGTGATCGCACGCGGGAACACCCCTTCTTGCGGCTTCTGCTCCCTGTGAGCTGTGTCGTAATCAACAGTGCAGAACCCCAGCTTGTTTACACAGCACCTCCGTAGAAAAATTGCCTACCAAAGTTCTGTAGTACCACGAACCATGACCAGATATGATCATATTACGGTCAGGGCACCACATTTTTGAAAACTGACAATATATCAAAAAATAAACAACTCAACTCATACAACAACATGCGAACACATGGAACAATAAGCCAACGTAAGGACTCCCTGAACACTAACCTATTCTCTGTTCCTACCAACAGTTATGAATAACACGA